TGACCCTCCCCTGCTCACGCGGTCTCTCTCTCCTAGAAATAAATAAAAAATATTAAAAAAAAAAAAAGTAAAAAACGTAGCGAATTTTACACTCTACACATGTGAGGCTTACCATGTGTCAATTATACTCAACGGAGCCAGTGTAAGAATTATCACACTAGGGATGCCTGAGTGGTTCAGTCAGTTAAGCATCTGACTCTCAGTTACAGCTCAGGTCATGACCTCACGGTTTCGGGAGTTTGAGCCCCGAGTCAGGCTCTGCGCTGACAGTGCGAAGCCTGCTTGGGATTCTCTCTCTCCCTCTCTCTCTCTCCCCCTCCCCCACTCACGCTGTCTCTGTCTCTCTCAAAATAAACAAACTTGAAAAAAATTTTTTAAAAGGAATTATCAAATCAAACAGCCAAGTGCAGACAGTTTAAGATAACAATCAAAAAAGAACATAACCTGCAATCCAGTGAAGAATTACAGGCTTTAAACATAAGTGATTCTACCCTATTCCGGAGACATGCTCCTTCACTTGGTAAAAGTAGGAAAGGGGGGCATATGTCACAGGTCATTGGTTGATATGAAAGCAAGCAAGAATAAAAAGTGAGCACACAGTGAAACCCCAAACACTAGGCTATCGCATTTAACATTAACGTTACTTCTTAATTAAGATGTAGCCAATCTGAAATAGTTCATAATAATAAAGAAAGAAAAAATGACTTAGTGTTTCCAGTTTGGCCTGTTCCACTCCCAGGAAGAACAGGGTGTTTCTCTCCCACCACAGTCCGGAAGAATACATCTTTTCCAGCACGGCCACGCATATGTTGCAATGACTCGTCCATTAGGACAGGGACTCTGCCTTTTGATGTTGGCACTGTGGTCAAATATAAGTGTTTTGAAGTTGGCGAGCCTGGCTTCCGAGCCTAGGCTCTGCCATTCACCTACCAGGCAACCTCAGAAAGATACCTGATCCCCGGTTTTATAAACTGTGAAACAGGGCTAATAGGGTATGTGAGGATTCAATGTGAATTTATCCAAACCTTGGCCTACAAGGAAGGCCCTGCTTGATCCTTCCCCTGATTACCGCTCTATCTTCACTTAGTTCTTTCCCTCCAGCTGACAGTGCTGAGGCACAACCACCTTCTCCCACTACCAATAAACCCACACACGGCCAGGCTCGTTCCTGACTCAAAGCTATTTCCTCTCCTGATCTTCCGTGTCTCTATTCTCCCCACCATCTCCTGTTTCCTTCTCATCAAAGACACAGCTTAAATGTCAGCTCCACAGAGAAGCCTTCTCACTATTCACATAGGATCCCCTGGTCTCAGTCTCCGCATCCCATTGTCTCCTTCTTTCTTTCAACAGTCACTCAACAAATAGCTCTTAAGGACCTACTGCACGCCAGGCACCGTTCCAGATTCTGAGGACACAACAGTGACCACGACAGCACGGATGGAGAGCAATCCAGCGGGGCAGACAGACCATTAACAAATGAGTAAAACCCATAGAGTATGTTAGTTCCAGGGTCATAAATGCCATTGAGAAAAATAAATTGTGAACAGGGGAAAGGAGATGGGGGTTGCAAGAGGGGCTGTGATTTGGGGCACCTGGGTGGCTTAGTCGGTTAAGTGTCCGACTTTCGCTTAGGTCATGATCTCGCGGTTCATGGGTTCGAGCCCCGCGTCGGGCTCTGTGCTGACTGCCAGCTCGGAGCCTGGAGCCTGTTTCGGAGTCTGTGTCTCCCTCTCTCTCTGACCCTCCCCTGCTCACGCTGTCTCTCTCTCTCTCTCCTAGAAATAAATAAAAAAAAAAAACATTTAAAAAAAAAAAAAAAAAAAAGAGGGGCTGTGATTTTAAATCTGGGGTTTTGCCAAGGCTCACTGAGAACACAAAAATTTTTATTCATTTACTCTGAGAGAGAGAGAGAGAGCATGGAAGAGGCAGAGAGAGAGAGAGAGAGAAGTGGAGAGAGAGAATCTCAAGCAGGCTCCGTGCCGTCAGTGCAGAGCCCAGCTCCCGGCACGAACCCGTGAACTGTGAGATCATGACCTGAGCTGAAATCCAGAGTCGGATGCTCAACCAGCTGAGCCACCCAGGTGCCCCTGAAAACACAATAATGAATAAAGAAGTGAAGGGGGTCAGGGAGGGAACCACAGACAGGAGGGCTGTGCCAGGGGCATTCCAGGCAGAGGCAACAGCAGGTCCGAAGGGACCTCAAACAGCCACGAAACTGGCTTGGCTGTGGAAGTATGTGCAAGAAGCGCAGCAGATAAGAGCAAAACGGTGAATGACCGGGGAATGAGGAGGACGGGATGGGGTAAGCTCCGGGCCCACCGTCAGGCCTGTCTTAAGTGCGTGATCTGATTGGCATTTTAAAATCTGCAATTAGTTTGCTAATGGTTTCCACGTTCTGTGGCCCTTCCCCAGATCTTCCCCACTGCTGGCAGTCCTGTGCGCTGTTACACCTCCAGCACCCAGCACAATGCGTCGTAGGCACTCAACAAATACGGATTCGATGAATGAGCTAATCTATGCAAAGCATTTACTGGTACAGAACAAGCACTCCATAAATGGTAACCATTATTATTTGGAACCCCAGGTTTCAGCGCAGTGGCTGACATTTGGTAAAAGCTTACTTGAGGAAATGAATAATTTTGTGAAATGATTAAAAATCTATATTAAAAACATATGATGAGTAACGACAAATTGATCAATTGCTTTTCACCCTTTTCCTTACTTTTAAGGCATGGCGGATTCTATTTTTGAGCTTCACTTTAAACTGTTAAGCTACTACAGGGGCACCTGGGTGGCTCAGTGGGTTAAGCATCTGACTTCGGCTCAGGTCATGACCTCACGGTTTATGAGTTGGAGCCCCACTTCCGGCACTGCGCTCACAGCTCAGAGCCTGGAGCCCGCTTCAGATTCTGTGTCTCCCTCTCTCTCTGCCCTTACCCCACTCACACTCTCTTTCTCAAAAATAAATAAACATTTAAAAAATTAATAAATAGGGGCGCCTGGGTGGCTTGGTCGGTTAAGCGTCCGACTTTCGCTTAGGTCATGATCTCACGGTTGGTGGGTTCGAGCCCCGCATCGGGCTCTGTGCTGACTGCCAGCTCAGAGCCTGGAGCCTGCTTCAGTCTGTGACTCCCTCTCTCTCTGACCCTCCCCTGCTCACGCTGTCTCTCTCTCTCTCTCCTAGAAATAAATAAAAAAACATTTTAAAAAAATTAATAAATAAACTTAAACTTCTGAGGGCACCAGCTAGAATAATCCCATTGTGACTTGATTCTTTAAACATACTGCAATATCCTCCAAACACAATTAGCTTAACGCACTGAAATGCTTGTAAAATTTATGATTGGGTGAACTCACATGATTTTTTTTTTTTTTTAGTAATCTTAATGTACAAGGCTAAGCTGACCCAAACTGGTTTGATTTTTATTTTTATTGAATTCAAATAAAGCTCAGTTAACTCAAACAGGTGAGCAAAGAACTAAGAATTTCCCCCCTTTTAATTGATGTTGACATCTCCAGAGTCTTTATCACAAAAAAGCGTAATGAGGATTACACCAGCGCCCTTCTCCCTCGTGGTGCTTTGGGGTAGGGGCATAATGGCGGGGCTAAGGCCATTTAGTGCTCATCTCGGGAAAAGTCTCGGGAAGTCCCAACAGTTTTCCAGAAATAAAACTAAAGAAGGAGTCATGCATTCAAGTACAAAAACACGCCAAATATTCCATCTCATAAAAGGTGAACACCCTCTCCTGACGATATTCACAAGGTCTGAATGGCAGGGACCCAGAGTGGGAAAGGGCCAGGTGTGGTTTAGAGGTTTCACTGCAATCCCCAACCCTAAAAGTAGCCGAACTCATCCTCGCACAACCATATAGTCACTGCAAGGAGGACTTCGGAGCTATGGAAACTTTCAAAAAAGCAGATGAAAGTTGCCTGAAATGAAACAAACTTCTAAAAAGAAAAAAAGATGCAAAAGTATAGAGCGGCTACAAAGAACCCTCTCAGTTCGGCTCTGACTTGCTGGTGCTTGTACAAAATCGTGCCTGCTAGCATCTAGCTCCGACGCTCCCTTCCACTAGGGGAGGGGAAATAATAACTTTCGGAAATAACAAGCGTCCACAAAGGCAAATGTTACACGGGACTTCTCAGGCTCCGTCTAAGGTAGCTCCTGTAGATTCGAGGAGCACTGATTCCACACAAGTCCCCCCCATCCCCTGCTTTTTTTTTTTTTTTTTTAACATTAGGAAAATAACCTAAAGAGGAAAAGGTGCTACCGTCAGACCCTCAAGGCAATTTCAGACAACAAAGACCCCAAGCAATCAAAATGGAATTATAATCCCAGCCGTCCGGGCTGCCCCCGGCGCGGGGGCGCTTGGCTGTTCCTCGAGCGCAGGGGCCCGCGGGTCCCCGCTCGCTCTCCAGCCCGGGTGCGCCCCAGCCCGCGGGTTCCCGGGGACTCGGGGCGAGCCTCGCGCCGCCCACGATTTGGCAACCTCTGTGCCGCTGCTCTCCACGTTCTATCTCACGCGGGGTTCAAAATCTTTCCCGCCCAGGCTTGAAGCGAGGAAAGAAAACAATCAGCGGATCCCGAGCGCTGGGGCCTGGGCCAGGCGCGGGCGGCAGGGGGATCAGGGCCGAGCCCCCAGCGCAGCCCCTTTCTGAGCCGGGCGGACCGGCGGGCTGGGGCCCGGAGGTGACACAAAGAAGCCGGAGAGACAAACGCCACCCGCTGGCGCTCGCTCCAATCCCCGGAGCGCCCCGCCCGCTGACAAGTTTGCGGCGCCCTCCACGCACCCCGCTCTCCCCACCTGGGCAAAGTTTCCGGTGGTCTGGCTCGGACCTCGACATCGGGTCGGTTCTCGCGCCTGCTGTCCCCCGCCCTCGGCTCGGGGACCTTTCCCTCCCTCGCCCCCGCCCCTTCCCCTCCCTCCGCTCTCCCTCCCCGCCGCAGCCCTCTCTCTCCGGGGCGCACCGGGGTGCTGGGGGCCCGCGGCCGCGCTCACCCGCTGCTGGCCTGGCGAGGGCGAGGGTGCGGGCTGGGGCGGGCCCCGATCGGCGCCCTGCTCGCCTCGCTCCCTCGATCGCGCCTTTTACTCGTTCTCGCGTTCGCTTTTTCGGTCCAGCAGCAGGCTCGGGGCGCAGCAGAGCGCGCTCGGCTCCTTGGCGCTCGGAAAGCTGCAAACCACGCCCCGCGCCTTCCCCGCCCGCCGCCAGCCGCGGAGTCCCGCGCTCGCCGCTCTGCGGCCAGTGTCGAGCTAGCCCGAGAGCACCGGAGGCGGAGCCCAGCCGCCTCCCACCTCGCAGGGCCCTGCGCCCGCCGTGGGCTGGCAACTTTCTCTCCAGGTTTGGAGGCGTCAGAGAGGGTCTGGGGGAGAGGCTAACTCAGAAAGCAGGTTAGCGACCTGGGTAGGAAGAATGTCACAGACTCCCTCAAAAGAGCTTTTCTGCCGGATTTCATCGAAGAACTTCTCTAGCCTTCCTGGACTCCTGGCTCTTCGAGGTGGGAGTAAGAGAGCAGATGTGCAAATTAGCCACCAAACCTTGATCAAGTCATCTAACCTTTGCGGACCCTTTGTAAAATGAGGATTTGAGATTAGATGACCTTTGTGATTTGGGTCATTATTTCTAATAGCTTGGTCCAGACTTCAGGATCACCTGGAGGTAAGGGGAGACCTCGTTAAAATGCAGAATACTGGGCCCTTCTTTCCTCCTGCAGAAGAATGGCCTCAGCCTTTTTTTTTTTTTTTTTAAGTGTTTTATTTTGAGAGAGAGCAAGTAGAGGAACGGCCGAGAGAGAAGACAGAGAAACCCAAGCAGCCTCTGGGCTGACAGCATGGGACCGTTTATGGGACTCTAACTCTAGAACCAGGAGATGATGACCTGAGCAGAAATTGAGAATGAGATACTTAACCAACTGAACCCCTCAGACACTCCCAATAATCTCCTCAGTCTTATGACACCATAGGCATCTTCCAGATCTGAAATTCACTGGAAGTTAAATCCTTGGGAAATCATCCTGCAGAGGCTGGTTTGATACACCAGCAAATGGGGCCCCTGGGTGGCTCAGTTGGTTAAGCGTCGGACTTGGCTCAGGTCATGATCACACAGTTGGTGGGTTCAGCCCCCCCCCCCCTCCCCGCGACAGGCTCTGTGCTGACAGCTACTCAGAGCCTGGAGCCTGCTTCCTATTCTGTATCTCCTTCTCTCTCTGACCCTCCCCTGCTCCCGCTGTCTCTCTCTCTCTCTCTCTCTCTCTCAGAAATAAATAAAACATTAAAAAAAAAAGATACACCAGCAAATTACTCAATGCGGTTGGACTCAGGATGATGTCAATTGACTCCCACTTACCTCCCATACAGCTATTGCAGTATTGCTAAGGTACTTAAAATCTTAAATGAATGGTATTCTTTCAACTCACTATTATTATGTAAAGAAGTGACTTTAAAATATTTCTCTAGTATGTTTGTATTGCAATCAAATTAACTTCTCAATAAATCCAAGCTCATCTATGTTGTATGGGCTACAGAATCCTGTCTGGATTACTTAGTTAAATTTGGTGCTTGCGATCCAAACCAAATGGCAAGGAGCAGGCATTAAAGTTTTGATAATGCTTTCAGTCAACACATATTAATAAAAAAATAGTAATTGTACATTTTACCCACAACTTGGAACAATTATTTCAAAAATGTGTACCTCTGTGAGTACCAGGATGATTCAGTTATCTGAAATGAACATTTTACTGATGGCCAATGGCTCAACTCAACAACACACCATAGTATCAATGTGTCATTCCTTGAACTCCAAGATAATCATTCTGATAGTATCATTTCTCTTCTTAGACTACCTAGGTTTGCATTATTTATTATTAATGGTATGGGTCTCAACAAAGGTCTATAAAGTAAGAAGATCTTTCTGGTCCTAGGGTGTCTTTTCATAGAACCATTTTGCCTGCTACAATACATACAAATCAAAGAGCCAATTTCAGGAAAGTTTGGGCTCTCGGGTGTATGGAGCTGTCTACAAAGCATTGTCTGTTATTTTCCCTTTCTGTTCTATTCATGCTATTCATTTCCATTTTATGTCGGTTGCTTCCTTTAGAGTACATGCTGCAAAATCATCATGGCAACAGTCTCTGGAGAAAATGTTATGAATCATTTCTTAATTATTGTTCCCTCCTAGGCATCTATGCTACTACTACTCAAAATGAAAGGTCTATTGTTCCATATTGTATCTAGTGTGCTCAAGAGAGTCCAGAATAAAGTGTCTCAAGATGTGTTCAGATGTCCCCAATTAGAGTCTTGTAATGATCTATGGTGTCTCCTAGCCATGGCAGTTTGGGTATAAAAGTAATACCCACTCTCAAACCAGCAAATTAGACTAATGGCAGGAGTACTGAAAGAGATCCTCCACACTGTGAAATGAAAATAAAATGTAATGCTAAGCCAAAGAGACACACCCGATTCTTTTGAAACACCACACTGAGCATGGGAACGGATGGCTCATGTGCTTATATCTCTGACTGGCCGGGTAAGGGTTGCCATGAACCCAGCCCCACCCACAGTCTCCCATGCACCAAAAAACAGAGATAGTACAACAACACAGTATGATGTCATGTTCTGCCTCTCAGCTATTATTTACAACCAGCCTCTGTATTTTTAGCAAAAGATTCCATTCGGCTCCACAGCCCACCTGAGAGACTCTGCCAGCTCCAACTGTGCTGAAAACACAAGTTTTGTAAATTGATCCGACTGAAAGCACATCCGGGACTTGGTACATAAGCATGCTGTGGCATATGGTGAGAACTACCAAAGCAGACGTTCAGTACGGGCTCACATACGGTACTGAGCAGGACAAATAACGTGGTCTGAGGCATTCAAGTGGGTTGGACATCGTCATGCCATTAAAGGACTTAAATTGACCACTCTTTTGGCGCCTGGGTGGTTCAGCTGGTTATGCGTCTGACTTCAGCTCAGGTCATGATCTCATAGTTCGTGAGCTCGAGCTCCGCATAGGGTGAGCATGAGCCCCACACTGGGTGAACACGAGCCTTCCTTCTCTCTCTCTGCCCCTCACTCACTTGTGCCCTCAATAAATAAATAAATAAATCTAAAAAAACAATTGACCACTCTAAGTTAGACAGCACCGTTTGAAGCATGGATTGCTCTGAACTAGAGTTGTTGTTTACACTCCTGTATCCCACACAAGACTTGCCCAGTTCCTTGTCTTGGCATCCACAGTGCCTAAAGAAGAATGGCCATGGAGTTTATACCAGGAGCAAACCCTACTCTTGTGTTTGGGTGCTGTATTGAGAAGGATTGTAGTGGGTCATCTAAATTTGGCAAGAAAGGATACAAATTGAATAGTAACTGAGTCTCTGCCAGGGGCACAGAAGGAGGAACAATTGACACTAGTAGCATATATTTATCAACCTTGATGGTAATAGAAAATAATAATGTTAAATGGCTGGCCAGATGGATAAGTGCATTTAAGAACAACACAAAGTATCTTTAGCTGAAGGGGCAGCTACTATGTTAATTAATTTGAGGCAGGGTGAGACCATTTTACCACTTGCTTCTATGGGGTTTTTTAATGTTTATTTTTTCTAAATTTTTTAATGTTTTTATTTCTGAGAGAGAGACAGAGAGCGCGCATGAGCAGGGGAGGGTCAGAGAGAGGGAGATACAGATTCTGAAGCAGGCTCCAGGCTCTGAGCTAGCTGTCAGCACAGAGCCCGACGCGGGGCTCGAACCCATGAACCGTGAGATCATGACCTGAGCTGAAGTTGGACGCTTAACCGACCGAGCCACGCAGGCGCCCCTTTAATGTTTATTTTTGAGAAAGCACAAACAGGGGAGGGGCAGAGAGAAGGGGACAGAGGATCTAAAGCAGGCTCTACGCTGACAAGAGTAAGCCCGATGTGGAGCACAAACTCATGAGCAACCAGATCATGACTTGAGTGCAAGTCAGACGCTCAACCCACTGAACCACCCAGGAGCCCACTACTTGCTTCTATTTTAGCAACAAAGGTACTAACGGGGTGGCTCAGTGGGTTAAACGTCTGACTCTTGATTTGGGCTCAGGTCATGATCTCCCAGTTCCTGAGATAGAAACCCACCTTGGGCTCTGTGCTGACGGTGAGGAGGCTGTTTGAGATTCTCTTTCAAAATAAATAAATAAACTTTAAACAACAACAAAGTTACTATAAATACAAAAGGAGATTGGCTTAGAGCTAAATGCTCCCTCTTAAGATGCTAAGTCTGCTGATCTCAAGGGACAATCTTTCACCACAATATTTTTTACCATATTGGGAGCATTTGTGTAAGCTGGGGATGAAAATAGCTGGCCAGGAAAATGGTTCTGTTCCTCTTTGTCCATGAGTCCAATCACACCCCGAAAAGTTCTGAGCTCTTATCTCATTCTGCTCTTGTTTCCTGCCAAACCTGGAAAACTGACAGGAATAAATTTTGGCTAATTGCTCCCTTGACCAAAGTGATCTCCCTGGCCATTGTCCTGATTCAAGTTCAAAGTTGGGGCCAACAACCTCGAGTGCTCTGTCAATTTACGCAGTAGATGGTCTCCTGAAATACTGAGCCAATCCATCAAGTCTCTGCCAATTGAATCAGAGAGACCAACATTCTAGAGTCTGAAGAAAAACTAAAACGAATATGCCACGTTTCATTTGAAACATATATGTAATACGCTAAGTATGGAGCCTGGCAGGCAGTAAGCACTCAACAAATAATAGCTGTTATTGCAATAATTTTAGTCAGTAACAGTGGGTATTATTTCAAAAGTACTTTTATTGCACTGGTAAATTATAGTATTGAATTAAAGAAATATCCCATAACACACCTCATTTTACACAGAAGACAGGCTTTCGAGAAAATATTTGCCTAATGGCATAAAACTAGTACTGGCAGTCCCTGGATTAGAACTTAAGGAAGTTTTTTTAGCAGAAATAAATGTATCATTTAGAAGAATCCTGTTGTACATCTTGATGTTTGTTTTACTCTCCAATGCAAATCAATGAATTAATCATACTGCTCAGCTTACAATAAAAAACAATAAAGGGGCACCTGGTGGCTCAGTCAGTGGA